TTTATATACTATTTTCAAAATTAAGAAAAATATCCTTTTTCAAACATATTATATTTTCCTCATTTATTTATTTTATTTTTATTTGTTTACTTCTTAATTGGGATTATTTTCAAATTTCAATACTCTCTTTTATTTCTATTTCTAATTTTGATTTCAATTTTTTAAAGATATTATCATTAATTATAATAATGTGAGCCACATTTAAAATTAATTATTATAAAATAAAAATAATTTATATATGAAAAAATATATTATAAATTTTAATTATATAAAAATGAATATTTATATTATGAAATTTACAAACTAAAATATCAAATATATTACAAAAATTAATTTATATATATTAAACACACAAATGAGTTCCACAAGGGAGTATCTCGAGTTAGGACTTGATATCAAATCCAACTTTCCTTGTACATTATATCCTTTCGTATGAATTTATGTTGAAGATGAGATAGGTCATACATAATCTCATAGAAAATTCTTAAAGAGGTTTGTGATTAACTTTAATTATCTTGTCCTAATCTAAATTTTTTATTTATCCAAAAAAACCAAATAATTATTCTGCATGAGCACCTATTGGTGACCATTTTTAATAATTTTTTATTTTTTTTATTTATCAACTCTTATATATTAAATACGAATATCCATCTGAAAGTTTTTATAGGACCTTTTCTTTGACAAAAGAATTTTTAGAAAATTTTTATAAAAAAATTATCTAAGTTAAATTTTATTTATCATAATTATTTATGAATTAAATTTTAATATTTTTAAAATATATCATCAGTAAATAAAAATAATATTGTGCTATATATAAATTATTTATCACAAATCTAAAATATAATTTATATATTTAAAAATATCTATTTATACAAATTTAAATATGATTTGTATATTTAAACACATATATGTTTGTATATATAATTTATTATAAATTTTAGTTATATATAATAAATATTTTTTTACATTATACATACTAAAATACTAGTTATATTTATTTATAAATTAGATTTTAATATTTTAAAATTATTAATAATTAAAAAAATTATATCATAGTATAAATTATTTATCTTAAAAAAAACATAATTTATATATCTAAAAATATCTATTTATACAAATTTTAAATATAACTTATATGTATTTATTTGTATATATTATTTATTATGAAATTAGTGATATATAACAAATATTTAGCTTGTAAGATTTACTAGTTAAATACGAATAAAACGTAATTTAGAATATAAGGCTCTGAATAAAATAAATTAGTATACTAATTTTATTAATATTTTATTCATACAATTAATTTAATATAGAACTTTTTATAAATAATAAACCCTAAACTTAGACTAACTTTATTTAATAATTCGTGTTTTACATCAAATTTTAATGATCCAATTACTGAATTTAAGGTTCTTAATTCATAAATCGAATTTGCAAAATTTTAAAAAATTTAAAAATTATTTAATACTTTGTTTCATTAATTCAAATCAATGTATAAAATAATTTTATGATTATCCGTCAATTTGAATTAATGAAATGAAGTATCAAATGATTTTTAATTTTTTTTAAAATTTTCATATTTGATCTATGCATTAAGAACTTTAAATTCAACGGTTGGATCGTTGAAATTTGATGTAAAACATGAGTTATTAAATAGAGTAAGTCTACTTACTATATATATATATATATATATATATATATATATATATATATATATATCAAGTGAGAGGAAATTTATTATGAGAGATGAGAGGGTTAAAATATAACCCTTAGATTAATTTTGCGAATTCCCAAATTTTAGCGTATCAAGCAAGAGAAAATTAATCTAAGGATTATATTTTAACCCTCTCATCTCTCATAATAAATTTTCTCTCACTTGATACGCTCCCTATATATATATATATTCCTACACTTTATAGCTCAACTACAACACACAAAAAACATAAATATAATCTAAATTAAGATTATCATACAAATAGTTCGTAAATATACATGTAACAATATATATTTATAGGAATAAAATACTTAAAACATAAAATTACACACACACAATAATCCAAACTAAAAGCACAAACACAATAATCCAAATTGAAAGCACAAAAAATCCTAAGTTGCCAACCAAAAAAAAAATGTTGTCTCGAACAACACCACCTAAAAACTCTGCCATCTCCAACATGGGGCCACAACTTGCTAGCCCTCAAATTTATTTCTGTCTTACTTTCATAATAATATGATAATTGTAATCTCACAACAAGAAAATGCAATGGTAAGCTCGTAAACAATAAAGCAACATATAATATAAGGATAATGTACTAATTATATCAACAACTTCATCAACACAACACAACACAACAATAACTTAAGCTCAACTCAACAACATAGATCAACATATCAATGCAATTATTTTAACTTAACAACATGACAACTTTACAGCTTTAAAGCATGTCAATGATTGGAACAACATTCATAACTTACAAACAAAACAACTAAACAATACAACAACTTGACAGCTCAACAATTAATGTAACAGTACATTTTTTTAATTGTTGTTTTCCTGTTCATATTTTAAATATTGTTGTGATTGTTATTTATTTGTTAAGAAACTCTAGGAATTAAGGAATTCCTAGTGAGTTTTAGTCTTTTAAGAGTTTCTCTAGGGCAGAGTTCAATTTAACCTCTAGGGGAAGGTATGTGAGGTTTTCTTTAAGACACGAGCTTCATAAGTTCATTTCTTAAAGAAACCTAGAGAAAAGTTAGAGAGAGAAAATCAGGGTCCTGAGATTCTTCCTTTTTTTCCCCCTAGCTTTCCCGAAAGTATAGAAGATCGTAGTTGAGTAGTTGGGTGGTGATTCAAGATTTTTGAGCTGAGAATCTGAGTTGTTGGAGTGACCATGCGAAGTAGCTGTGACAATTATGTTTACTTCTTCCTCCTCTGATTCTTGTGGATTTAGAGGCAAAGAAAGCTAGATTTTAACTCTTCTTAAATTATCTGAGTTATATGTTGGTTGATTTTCATCAAGTTATGGTTGTGTTGGTTGACCTTTTATTAATGATTTTGGGGTTTTGTTGCCTATGTAGTATGTTGAGGTGAATTTGATGATTTAGGCCAATTGTTGGTTGAATGTTATGTGTTTGCTTGGAATTCAGTTGTTTATGATGAATGGTTATTTTAACAATCACTATATGTTGGATTTTCCTAAGTTTTAGGTGTAGAGAGCTAAGTTCGTGACTTTGCCAAAATGTAGAATTCATCATTGTGTCAGGCACAAGATTGGTAGCGTTAGGCTTGAGTTAGAGGAAAACTCTCTAACTTGATCACGCTTAACGTAAGTTGAATGGCATAGGACATGGATGTCCTTGGAACTCTTTTACTGGGTGACAACATGCCCGAGTTGAGTGGCAGCAAGTGTAATCAAGACAAAGGTTCTCTACCTAAACGACATTAGGCACTAATGTAGTGACATCAAGCATGATTCAAGAAGAGACTCTCTATGCCCGAACAAGGTCAAACGTGAGTTTGGCCACATTAAGTGTGATTGCCACATATGCTCTCTACCTTATTTACATTGAATGTAGGTAGATTGGTGTTGGATGTGAACGAGTCACAAAACTTTGTACCTCAATGACATCAAGCGAGGGAAGAATGACATTGGGCATTGGTTGCCTCATGAAAATACGTGGACTTTATTGTATAAGTGTTGAACATATATCTGTTTATTGAGTGTATTGCATGTTATATGTTTATATTTGGTACTAGTTCTTTACAATACTTTTTTTTTCTCCAGCGAAATATCAAATTATTTGTATTTCATAATCTATAACAATATGTAAAAAAAATGTATAATTTAGTTTTAATTTTTAATAATTAATTTTACCCCTAAATATGATAGTCATTTTTATTTTATTTTATTAATTTAATCTAAAAATAACTTTAACTTTTATTTTAGTTTTAATTTGTTGATATCCTATCAAACTAACCACATTTTCTTGTCGACAAGTAATTATTTTTAGTGTTTTAAAATTTGGATTGGACCGGCTGGTTAGACCAGTTGAACTGGGAAATGGTGGTCTAGCCAATCCAAATCTTAAGTTAGATCAGTTATGCATTCGACTTGTTTCAAACTAGATTGAACCGCTCAATTTTTCGGTTCAGCCAGTGAACTAGTGAGTCAAACCGATTCAACCACATTTTTTTTTTTATTTTTTTAAGAGACCACAAACCACAAAAATAATAATGAGAATTGAATTTTTTTAATGAAAGAACAAAGAGTCTTATTAAACATAAGAATGACTACTTGTTCTAATGTATTTGTTAGTGTTGACCAAAAAAAATAATAATGTATTTGTTAGTAATATATGTAACTTAAATAACTTTTATAGTATATTATTAATTTTAAATTATATATTTAATAATATAATATCTATGTAAATATTACATCTATTATTTTGTGATATCAATTGCAATCATATTATATATGTACATAGTATTTATATTTTTAATTTGTATTAATATACAATTTAACATGTAATTTTTTTAATGTATTTCTTTATGCAAAATAAAGATAAGAATAATTTTAAATAAAATAAAAATTAAAATTTAAAATAAAATATGAATTTATTGAAATTTATAAATATAAAATATATTTAAAATGAATATTGTTTTTAAAAAAAATTAATAAAAATTAAGTCATGTGATTTAATTAGTAACCCACCAATTCAACATTTGACCCACTAATCTAATATCTTAATTGGTTTAAGGACTGATTCAGTTTTTAAAATTATAATTATTTTTCTCTCTTTATCGATCAATTTTTTTTTGTTATTCATCATTTATTTTTATTTTAATTATTTTATATTTTACCTTTTATTTAAATAAAAAATATAGAGACACAACCTACTTTACTCTACTTATATCCTATAAATGCTATTTATTTATTTTCTATTAATACGTCGGTATTTTTCATCATCATCAAGAGTTATATTATATATGTACGAAATCTAAACAAACTATTTATAATTTCTGTCCACAAATAAGAACATGACTCTGCATCAATAGCAATAATTATTCCGGTGAGGCCCACGGTAAAGGAATCTTGGACTTCTCTCCAAATGCCCCGTGCACCAACATCCTTTCCCCGTTCCGTTACGGACGCCAATTACCGGCGCCGGCGAGCAGTACCGCCGAACGAACCGATGCGCCGCCGAGGGCGGGAGGGAATCGGCGGAAGAGGAGTGAGACGAACCGGACGGAGAGGGAGTGGCACTGGACGAAGAAGACGTAGCGGGAGACAATTTCTTTGGCGGCGAAAGAATGGCTCTGATTTTCAACGGTTGAGGCAACGACGAAGAAGCTCGATCGGATTCCTCAATTATATTGGCCAAATCTTCGTCGTTGGTGACGGAAACTAAAGTGTCCAAATCTCCGTTCGGCAATGGACACCTAAGCTTCACCGGCGAACCGCACGACTCGCTAAGCTTCGCCATCAACTCTGTAAAACAACACTGAAGCGTAAGCACACATGCAGCTGGAATAGATAAATCGACGAATAAAAGCGAGAGACGGTGAAAACGAAATTGAAGAAGCGAATTAGGGAGGAACCTGAGAAAGAAGCGGAGGGATTGAGGGCGAGGACTCTGGTGTGGCCGCCGCAGTAACGGAGCATGCCGTCGGTGCGGCGGGGACGAATCTTGCCGCCATAGCTATAGAGAAACTTAATAGTATTGTTGTTATTGTCTAAGGGTTTGGATCCCATGGCTAGGTTTCGCGGTTCGTGGAGGAGCGAAGAGGGAAGAGTTTGGTTTTCTTGGGGACAATGGAGAGTGTTGGTGCTTGAAAACTCATGTTAGTGACTTTCACGGCTATTTATAGACAGTGCCATGGCCTTGGGAAAAGAGTCAAAGAGGGAAAGACCCTGATTATTCCCCCCCTTTATTTTTTTATTTTTTTTATTTTTATTTTTTGTGTATACTCCGCGTTTTCCCTTTTACGAGGAACCCCAGGGGAAAATCTTTTACGGAGATGTTAAATATATTTTATTCAATTCTTCTCTTTTTTTTATTTATTATTATTTAAACAGATTTTGATTTTCATCATTTAAAACAGAATACTTATCCTTTATGCTTATCAATTTTGTATGATGTATCAAAATGAAAATTTAAAAAACTAAATTCATGTTCGGATTAACTATAACTAAAACAATCTAGAAATTTATTTTATCAAAAATTAAAGTTATCTTTAGGTTAAATGGGATGTGATAAGAATTTATCTTTAAATTTATATTGATGGATCAAATTTAAATTTAAATTGAGATATTAATTAAATTAAAGAAATATTGTTGGAAATAAATAAAAATAATAATATTTCTATATTATATATAAAGAAAATATTTCCTTTTAATTTTCATATTTTTTTAGATATTCATATCTTTTTTATTATATTTTTATCATCATATTTTTTAAGTGTAAAATAATATAT